TAAATTTTTTAATAAAATTGAAAACGAGAAACAAAGAAGCAATACCAATGAACTCTAATCAACTCAAAAGTTTAAGTTTATGAATTATGTTAAATTTAATCCTTATACATACATTAATATGTGTTAGTATTAATACAGATTTAGAGTAGAGTTAAAATGATCTGCAAATGGACCCATTTACAAGTGGGAGGTCGCTTATTTGGCTCCTCATCTTAAGCTTGCTTTTCTTGCCTTCAAGCTTGGCTTCCTCTTGGAGTTAATTCGACAAGGGTCGAATACCTGCTGGAAGGTCCAGTGCGATTTTTTTTCTGCATCCGCCGGTTATCTTTGTTGGCGATGTTGCTTGTGAAGAAAATTTTCCCATGCCGCCAGAGAAAGTGGGCTTCTTGGATTGTGGCCGGGCTTGAAATCTAGACAACTTGGTTAGCCGGAGGGGCCGAGATAGCGGCCCAACAATACAATTTATGAGGTTCGTTTAGTGATGGGCCAGGTTATTAGATTGTATGGGCCGAATCCGAGAAATAAGCCCGTGACGGGGGAGATTTGGGCTTCGATACGTGGGAGAGTTCAAACATCCACAACTCATTTTTAGAGTAAATTGCAAAAATCACAGACTTTTTTCCCTTTTTTTTTTGACGGAAAATCACGGACTTCTTACAATTGCAACCTCAAATAAACTAATAATCAGTTTGTTTAATTTCTATTTTCCTATTTAAATAACCATTTTGATGTTCGTAGTTTTAAAAATAGTCGTTTTAGTCTACTTTTTTCTAATCTAATTTTTCTCTATTGAATTACTGCTATAGTTTTGGATTAGGATGTTGGAAACATGGATCCAATAAATCACTATTAAAAGAAATAGATTAAATAGACAAGGACTGAAAGTTAAAAATAATCAAAATAGTCACTTTCAGGTATAAAGACCAAAATAGACAAAAGTTAAACATATCTATCAAAATAAAATTTAAATTTAATTATTTCTTTAAATCAAGAAATCATTGCAATTAAGCTCTATCATAATAACTCTATTGAGTTTATTTCCAACAACCTCCTAGGTAGTTTTGATGGTATAATTTCAAGTATTTTCATAATTTAAGAATGAGTAAGCATTTAGGAATGAAAAATTAGTTATAACATATATATATTATAGTTTAGTTTACTGTTTACGTAATTCTTAAAGTTGTAACCAATAGAATTATAACGATAAAGTTTGACATGACAATTTGAGTCGAACTCATTGAACAAGACACTTATTATCTTCTAGTATGTATCATCGAAAAATGAAAGTTGTCAAAATAAGTGAGACATTAGTGTGGGGCAAAAGGAGGATGATCCACTACCACTCGCCCACTCAAGTGCATTTTGTTTGGACATTCTCTCCATCTCCACATTAGGCTCCAAAAAGTTTCCCAACACCACATGCCTTAAGCTCCAATCCAATCTAATCCCAAACATATTCTTCAGATTCATTTTCATACTCAATCCCATCTCCACCATTAAAACACCATCCCTTATCCTTTACCAACTTTTCCTTTTACCCCTCCTCTTCATTTCTAAATATTTTAATTTGTAAAGGTGGACAAATAAAGTTACACGTTGATTAAAAAAAAAAAGGAGAAATCATAGTTATATATGCGATGGACAATATCTTCATTTGTATAAGGCTCTTTAAATAAAATTAAAAGTCATAAAGGTTACACCCAAAATGGTCTCTTGTTCGGATACTCCCAATAGAAATAATACATTGAACTCGATATAAAATGACAAGGCCTCAATCTTTGAAGATATTGGCATTGACAAACTTATTGTATTTTACTTTTTCTGTCTAATTTCGACCTTCAAACTTAGCACATCTTCTTTTACATGAATATCAATAAATAAATATATACACCTTTTTAAAAAGAGTTGGTGGCTTATCGGCTAAATATTAAAGAAATATGCCACTTAGAAATTTTAAGGTAAAAGTTAATGCATATGATATTTTTATATGGTTTTTGACTTTACACTTTTTGACCCAATAAATGTCACACTTCCAACGATGTATTTTCCTTCCACCATAGGGGAGGTCGGGAAGAAATGTGTGCACTAATAATAATAAATTCACACCAATATAATAAAGGTTATAGTAATTTGAATTTATATAAATGATTAGTGATATGTCGGATGATCTCTCATCATCTATACGAAGGAAAGAACTTGATGAAATTACTGTTTGGAATATTCTCAATTGCTCAGCAAGCCACGCGAGCTAACTTGTCTTTAATATCTTGATCGACCTTTCTAAATGACGAATCAATCTTTAAGTATAAATACTTAACAGAATTTTAGACAACACGCCATGATTCTCGGAGTAGTTGAAAAGTCGTTGGAGCACTGTCGGAAGCTCGCTATTGAAAGTTGAGTTCTATAAATAGAGATTGTTGTCTCTTTCGCATGTAGATGAAACTATATTCTCACATGTAGATGAAACTATATTCTCACTTGATTATAGATCGGATAAATATTTATTGCAGTTAGCAAATCTTTTCGTTGGTTTATATCACGTTCAAAATTTGATCCTTTTTGTTTTTTTTTTAATAAAAAGGCTCCATTTCCAAAGTGCTGTTTTTTTTGCTTTTATTTCTTTCTTTCCTATGAACTTTTGATGAATTATTGTGGGAGCAAGGTACACGGCGCGATGGTGACATTGAGGGGGGCTGGCTGCGACTTACACCTTCCCCGGATCGCGGATGGGACGTGTCTCAAATTGCCTCTAATAATTATTTAGAACTGACAAATGAAATTACACAGCACTACTCAAATTCCAATTTGCCTTCTTTCGCCTTACAACATTGACCATTTCTTTTATTTACTGTTCTCTCTCTCTCTCTCTCTCTCTTTTCTTATTTCTCAGAATATGTTTTTATTTTGAAAATACGCCTTTCACTTTCTCAAACTAGACAAATTTGGGAGAGTGGAAAAAATGGGAGATGTTCACAGCTTACAATCTTTTAAATTTTTGAAGAACAGATTTTAAAGAAAATTCTAAAAGGATGATTGTCTAGTTTCTTTTATTTTTCGTTCTATTTTGAAGAGTCTAGAGATAAGTTTACTTTTTACTCGTAATTTAATCCAAGAAAACACTTCAAATCTCAAATTATAAAATGTAGGGATGACCCAACACAAGGAAAAGTAGAAGGATACAACTAGATTTGATTCATATATACATAGAGATTACGAGAAGAAGTGATAGTTTTTCTTGCTAGAAACCACCCCAAACGGAATAGAGAATTCCTGTTTAAGCGTTAGGCGGAGGGAAATTTACTAGAAATTGTTTTGATCTTTTTATGTCTTAGGATTTCATTGATACTTTAAATTATGAAATTTAAATTTTATGTTTTGTATTTTTATGGATTAGGAGACATTCTTAAAAAATTTAAGAAATTTTCATTTTAAAGGGAGATTTCCTAGGTGGATTTTAACATTTAAATGAGATTGAACATTCCATTGAAAATTTTCTAAAATAAATAAATGGGAAATAATTCTATACGGAGAACTCGATCCTATGAGTTTCTACGGAAACTTTCGCTCGATCTTCATGGGAACTTTTGGAAGGTGGAAAAGGAAATATGGGACAGGACATAAGACATTGCCTAAGACAATAAACGTACTGTATTATATGGTCTAGAAGATGTATAAAACCTTATACAAATCACCTTCTTTTGTTATACCTCAACTAGTTAAATCTTGTATTAAATTAAAAGATTGTTGGTTCGAATATCATTAAATATTGTGATACTAAAAAAAGTTATCATTTTTACCACTAAAAGTACTATGATCTCCAGCTGTTCAAATCCTCATCTCAGGTTGTATATAAACAAAGGAAAAATAACCAAAATAAAAAAATGAAGAAAGTACTCCGACATCATTTAATGCGACCAATCTTGGCGAAAGCTTTATTAAAGGCTCTCCTCCTCCCACTGATATATTTTTCTTTTTTTCTCCCACTGAAACCTTTGTTTACGTTTTATCATGCTATAAATTTGTCATTATCTAAACTAAATGTGTATTGAGATACCTTAATAAAAGATAATTTTGAAATTTCAATATTTGTTTAATGAAAAAGACAATTTTTTGAATAATAAAAATATTTTTTTTAGTAGATATATGACAATTAACGTTAAACTATGTTCGCTTTGACAATAATATTAAAAAAAGACGGAGTAGATCCTTCTTCGCATCTCCCTCGTTCGTTCGGAGTCCATTAAGTGATGCCATGGCCCACTGGGCCCTACTCAATGAGAGCGGGGCCCTTAAAAGAAATGATTAAAAATAGACTGCCCTGCCCCAGGCAAGATTCCAAATGCACCCTCCCAAGATTCTGCATGATTTTCATACTGCACGTGACGCCATGTGCCAGAAGCAAACAAATCATTTTTTTTCCTTTTGTAATAAACTATTTATTTTCTTATATTAATTTTAAAACGCTATTTTGGTACTCAGACCTTTTTTAATTTATTTTATTCCAGTTCGCAATATTTCATTTTAAATTTATATAAAATATTTTTAATTAATGATTATATTATAGTTCAATTAGTTAAAACAATTATTTTTTACGAAAGAATTTAAAAAATTTATAAAATATCTTACTCCATTGGATTAAGTTCATAATTAATAAAATAATAAAAAGTAATCTATTAAAATATTTAGAGAGAAAAGTACCAAAGCCAATATTTATTATTTTTCTTAATGTCCTAGGTTAATTGTTGTAAAAGAAAAAAAAAACAATGGCGGCTGCATTCAATTGGATATCTAAGTTGAATAAATTAAAAGAAAATCAGTGGAAGACGATAGTGCTAAAGAAATAAAAATTTATTTATTTATTTTGTTTGTGTAAAAGAAAGAATTTAGAAATATGAATAATACAATAATTTATGGCCAGGTAGGACCAAGATAATATACCGGGGCCCACAGATCCTGGTCTGCGCACCACATATGAGGTTCCTCTGAAGATTCCGGAACTCGGAAGCCAACACCCAAAAGCCAAAACGCTTTCCGCTTCCGCCATAGCCTCTCGCCAAAGGCCTCTGCGGCTGCCTCCTCTCTCCGCCGATTTTTATCCTTTCCGTGCAGCCGCCGGCCATGGCCATTGCATCTTCAAACATCAATTTTATGCCCGGATTTATCACGAAGGATCATCATCTTCACCATTCTTCTTTTTCCATCTTGTTTTGCTACCTGCTGCTTTCCGTTTTGTTTTCATCTGCTTCAACCGCTTACGCATTTACTGGTATATTCATTATCCTCCTTTTGGTCTTCATTTTGATATTTGTTTTTGTTTACAGCCTGGAAATGGAAATGGATGTTCCTTTGTGATAATACATGGAACTGAATCCAAATGAATAATAGCCACTCGTTTGTGCCCTTACGGATAAAATTTCACTCATCGTAAATGAACTCTGGAAAACCATTTCTTCTGATTTCTGCTGATGCATGTTTTCTCGGAGTTGACAGATCTGTTTCTTCCTCAAGTTATCTGTCCTAGTAAAAGCAAAAGTATACTAGTTGTCTCAGCCATGTCATTCGAAATTCTTTACCAATGTTAATGGACTGAATTTCAAACGCTGAAAATATTTTGTTTAAATTTATCAGGAGATGTAGCCGAAGATTCAAAGAACAGAAGGGCCGATTTGTTTGTGGAAATTCTTAAGGACGAAGCAGTAGGAAGACTGAACGAACTAGGAAAGGTAGTGGACCACGACCCCATTTTTTTCCGCTTATGCTAGCTACGATATGCCATCGCAGATGTTTGACACTTTATAAATTTAGTGAATAATTGGACGATTTGCATGTGTATCTTCGTTTCTAGTATATGATTCTGCTGTAGTTTCCTAGTCGTAATATTAAAATGTCTAAAACTTGGGCTGACCAGGTAATTTTAATAATTTTAGAGCAATAATACTTGAGAAATATTTTTTTAGGCCGACTGTCTAGATTGTTTGAAACATAACCTTGATTTTGTAATAATTTTTTTTTTGCGGTGGTTGTAGTTTTCGAAATATTTAGGGCATATTATTGCAAATTTTTTTTTTGATATGAAACAAATATTTCATTGATAGTAGCGTATTATTGCAAATTTAATATCTTGAATTCCTGATTTATTTCTTCTATAAAGTCTTTACCTTGGTTACTTCCATTTCCAATTATCAAGCTCTTCATTCTATGCCATACAACATATATTATAGCTTAGTCCATGAAAACTTGTCCTCCCCTTCCCCCAGATAAACCTGCTGAATACCAGAGGTTGAGTTCTAATCCAACTTAAAACTGTTCGATGGTGAGTTTTCTGTGTTTGCATTAGTAATTTCCTGTTGGTCAATCAGAGTGATCTTACAATTGTCCCTAATTACTAGATAAGTGATGCTGCTCGCTATCTCGAGAGGACATTCTTGAGTCCAGCTTCTATCAGAGCAAGGTTTCTTCTTCAGAAATGGATGGAGGATGCTGGATTAAGAACGTTAGATTTCTACATCTCCTTATCTTGAAGAAGTCTTACTTGTTCTTGACTCATGCTCTTGAACATTTTCAGGTGGGTTGACTGCATGGGTAATCTTCATGGTCGAGCTGAGGGAAGGAATGCAAGTGCTGAAGCATTACTTATTGGTTCTCACTCGGTGATTTTTTGACTTCCCCTAAACAGAGCCAAGCATTCATGTGACATATCAAGCTAAGAATTAAATTTTCTTCTTTTCCTTGTAGGACACTGTGGTTGATGCTGGAAAATTTGATGGCGCATTAGGAATCATATCTGCTATCTCTGCTTTGAAAGTTTTTCACATGAATGGGAAGTTAGAAGAATTAAAGAGGCCAATTGAGGTTCGAGTTATTTAATTTCTCATTAGCAATAGTAAAGTTGGAAGGAATAAATTTTTTGTTATCATCTGGGCAGATTCTTTCTGAAAAGTTTTCCATTTGAGTAGGTTGCAAGAAAAAGTATGCTTAAACTTTAGGGAAACTTTTGATAGGCAATCAAATGGAACTCTTAGTGCATATTAGAGGAAATACGCCACATGACAACATTCTACCTTGTCACAATTAGTTATGATCAACTGAAAATTTATGCAGGTGATTGCCTTCAGTGATGAAGAGGGTGTGAGGTTTCAATCAACCTTCTTAGGAAGTGCTGCAATTGCTGGTATTTTACCAGTTTCGTCTTTGGAAATATCAGATAAAAGGTTTTGTTGCGTGACTCCAAACTCTCTGGATGCTTATCACTCGTTATTACCTGCTTGTTAATAGATGATCCTTTGTCAGTGGCATGACAATAAAAGATGTTCTTAAGGAGAGTGGAGAAGAGATAACAGAGGAGAAGATTTTGCAACTCAAGTATGACCGTAACTCTGTCTGGGGATATGTCGAGGTATGACTCCGGGTACTCTTCTGTCATTTGTAGTATTTGTTCTCTACTTAAAACTTATTTTTAGAACGTAGGAAATCGGTACTTTTATACCATTATTAGAACATTATTGTTTGCTCTGACTCTCAGGTTCATATTGAACAAGGACCTGTACTTGAGTGGTCTGGTTTTCCCCTTGGAGTTGTTAGAGGCATAGCCGGGCAGACACGACTAAAGGTACATGAGCTAAATAACCTGCACACTAACTAATTTAGTGAAAGAGTTGCAATAATCCTTTATTTGAAGTGCTTGCTACACATGCGATGACATGACCATAACACTTTTGACTACCTACTAGTCATAGATCATGGTTGATAAGCATGTTCACATTTAGACTCTTACGCCAGAGAATATCCTTACAAGTCATTCTTTACCTATCATCCTAATTAAAGGAAATCTAGTTTATGGAATAATTTTGAGGCCTGGTTATTCTGCTCTGACTTTATAATTGATTCTAGAAATGAACTTGAAGCTGTACTTTTCTTCTCCATAAATAATAACTATGGTACATTGGTACATTCCATTATGAGCCTTGGTAGTAGATATAGTTTATTTTAACATTTAGAGTATTATTGGTGATGAATTTAATATGTTCGTATTTTTCTATTTCACAAATTGCCCAGTCAAAATTATAATTTAGTTGGGGATCTTTGATGTGTAAAACCAAAAGGAAGGAATCTAATTTTCCTGTGGATTTTCATGAAAGATGAACCAATATGAATTTGTTTAAGTTAGGATGTGAATTAAGTTTGATAGAGCGATCCATGCACAAAGATTGCAGGTTACAGTGAGAGGTTCTCAGGGGCATGCAGGAACGGTTCCAATGCCTTTGCGCCAGGATCCCATGGCAGCTGCAGCTGAATTGATTGTACAATTGGAAAGACTCTGCAAGAAACCAGAGAGCTTTTTATCCTTTGATGGCCATTGCAGTGACTCCACCTTGAAATCACTGTCCACATCTCTTGTTTGTACGGTTGGAGAGATATCAACATGGCCCAGTGCAAGCAATGTCATTCCAGGCCAGGCAAGAATTTGATATAGAGGCACTGCAGAGCGTACCCTTTTTCCAGGCAATTTTTAATGTTTGGCATGTTACAGGTGACGTTCACTGTAGATTTACGTACTATCGATGACATAGGACGTGAATCTGTACTTTATGAGTTCTCTAATCAAGTCCATAAAATTTGCAGCAGCCGATCTGTTTCATGCAATATTGAACGCAAGGTGTGTGCATCTCCCATTCAAGTCCTTTGACCATTTACCATTTGCTTCCATTGCTCAATAATTATTATCTGTTTTGCATCGGTTGCTTTCAGCATGATGCTAATGCTGTAATTAGTGATTCGGAGCTGAGCTCGCAGCTAAAATCTGTCGCTTCCTCTGCACTAAAAAAAATGGTAGGCGAGATTCAGGAAGAAGTACCTGTATTAATGAGTGGAGCAGGGCATGACGCTATGGCAATGTCTCATTTGACAAAGGTTTATTCTTTTTAACTTGTATGCTGTAATTTCTTAGAGTTCTAGCTTTGCACCTACATCGATTTGGTTATAGACGATGTTGTTAACAAGCAAATTTGCAGGTGGGAATGTTGTTCGTCCGCTGTCGTGGAGGCGTAAGTCACTCCCCCGCCGAGCATGTACTGGATGACGATATCTGGGCCGCTGGTTTAGCAGTCTTGGAATTTTTAGAAAACCATCTGTAATATTGTAGCCTATGTATTTGTTCATTGTACGCAAGACTAGTTAGTAACTTGGTATAAAATGCTACATGTTTATTCAACTGTACAATCCATCTTTGTTGATTGAACCTTCTCTTCATCGTAGGCAAGAATAATCAACTTCGTACTCTGTGTAAATTCAATTTTTACAATCCATGTTCGTGGATTGTGTTCTATAATTTTCTCATCTTTTAAGTTTGGTTTTTTCTTCAATCTCTTTCAATAAAATAGAAGCAAGTGCTGAATAAACCATTCTGCCTAATAAGTTGTGAATTTATGAGAAATAATTGTGTTTATTACCATTACAGATCAAACTGCACAATAGTTTGACCAAGTGAAGTAGCCATGCAGTCGTGCATACGGGAGACCAGCGTTCTAAAACTAATCAGAAATTGGGTCTAGTGTAACTACCTACCTAGGATCCTGTCCTAAATTAACTGGCTTCTTTCCAAGTTAGAATCTTGCAATAGGAAACCTTCATGAAGTTAGATGAATGCTTTCACTTCGTATTGAGAGGTGAGGGTGCCAACTGTTGCAACTGATGAACAACATGAGACATTCTAGGGCGCATGGATGGGACATGCTGCGTGCAAGCATACACAAGGTCAACCACCTTCTGAACAACACCAGCCTCCGGAATTTCAGAAGTCGGAGTGGCGGTTATATGAGGATCCAAGAGATCTAGGTAACAGTGAGCCTGCACGAGAGGCGTTGCCCATTCGAAAATGCTCTGCCAACCGACAGAATCAACTGCTTGTGCGGGCCTTCGACCGGTCACAATTTCAAGCAGCAGCACCCCAAAACTGTAGACATCACTCTTTGTTGTAAGCTCGTTTCTGTAGACAAATTCTGGGGCAAGGTATCCATAGGTTCCTCCTGCCATCACTGTCCTCTCATGCATTACTTCATATGCCACCAACTTCGACAGGCCAACTCCCATCAGATGTGCTCCAAGTTCTTCGTCAAGAAGTACATTACTGGCACGGATATCACGATGTACCACATGTGGCTTAACCTTGTCATGAAGGAACCTGTATAAAACATAAAAGATCAGAGTCAGTTAATAATTGCTAGAGACAGGATAGATTACAAACCGAAGTAACAGTTCCGTTGGATCATAACTAAGGAATGAAAAATAAGTAGAGAAAGCAGTCTGATTTCTTTTTAATAAGAGAGAGAGGCATAAATTGTACATACGCGATCCCTTGGGCAAGAGTCGTGGCAATTTTCATTCTCATGGTCCAGTCTAAGCTTCGACCACCCCTTGGTACATGGTGAAGCCATCTATCTAAGGGCCCATTAACAATGAATTCATAAACAATGTAGCGGTCACCATGGTCATAGCAGCATCCTTTCAGGGCAACCAAATTTGGATGGCGAAGTTTAGCAACTCTTCCAATTTCAGAATGGAACTCTTTTTTCCTTTGAAAGCTGGACTTCTTTAACCTTTTAATTGCAACTCTTGAACCATCAGGTAAAAGCCCACTGTATGTACCACCTGTTTTTGGGTCTCCAAGAAGACGGTTTCCCTCACTGAAGTTTTTCGTAATCGACCTTAGCTCTTCTTTAGTAAACACTTTCCATGAAGGAGGTACCAATGCAGAAGCTGCAGGATTGGATGGCTTCCGAGACCTTCTCCGCTTCTTGCTCCTCTTGTAAGCAAGAAGCCAAATCACCACAGCTAACGTTGTGCAAAATATCAACCCACTTACAACTGCCAGAATGACAAGATATTCCTTGTGGCAGTGCATGCGTTGGCATCTATCATCTGATACAAAGAAAAGAGTATTTTCTCAATGTGGCTCATATTCCTCAATGACTAACCTACTCAAAGAACCAGGAAGTGAAAATACCATACATGCTAGATTCATTCTCTTGAATGGAAAGGTAAATGTATCAATTTCTCCCTAGCTACAGGTTGTTTCTCCTTAAATTTTTTTTTTCTTCTTGTGTGGGTGGGTGTGGATGGGGGAGACATGGAGGATATACATAGCAAGCCATGATGAATAATGTGACCAGAACATCCAAGATAATGCCATACCTGTATTAAGCATGCATATAAAAGGGTGAGAAGTGTTGCATTTCTCAACCTTAAGGAATGGTGTTCCTGGTCCACTAAATATCAAAGAACATGTTTCAACCAAATTATTCATGCGGCAAGAGACATTTTTGCAATTAGATTGCAAAGCCGTGCTGGGAAGGATGGAATCATTCCACTTCGAGACATTATCAGACCACTTCCAAACAAAGCCATCCGAAGAGTTCAACACTCTGCCACCAACCCAACAGCCGCCAAGAGTTCGATTACACAGATTTTGTGCAAAGCTAAACTCCTGATATGTTATCGGTGCTGCTAAGTTCCCGCCAAACCTGTTGCATTGGGTCTCTGATTCATTCCATGGTTGAGAGCTCGACATGAAACCGTAGCACTTAGTATTGTTTGGGCTAATATACCAACCATGTGGGCATCGTCCTAGCCACAGAGAAAATAACACAGTTGGAAGATGCTGTATCATTACCACAGTATAAGCATAACAATGACAAACAGAGTATCGAGACAATTTCTCATAGTACATAGTGTGCTTGAATGCAAGGAAGAAAAGAGGGAAAAGAAAGTAAAAGTAAAAAACTAAATAGGACATGTCATGAAGAGTTTAAACAAAGAAAAATCTAATATATTCAGGAAGAAGAGATTCCACAGATCAAAAACAAATAGAAAGAACTCCAAATTATCTTCTTCCTCCTTCAATTAACCAAACTCTTGGAGGCAAATGATAATTCTAGAAGTTAACTGTATACCTTTTGGGTTTTCATTTCTGGAAACAACCGAATGCCCACTTACTGACTCGTTGAAAATCTACAACATGGCCAAAGGAAACTTCATGACATAATTTCTCAACAGTGGAGCACTACATTTAATTGATTTCCGGTGGAAATAGCAAAACAATAATACAACATCAAGCAGCAAGCAAGATAAAAATCAGTCTCACTCAAGTTTCTTACAGTATCCGAGGCGCCAATTCTGGACATCCAAATTACCATCAGAAGCGGAAGAAATTGCAGATAAAGCGGTTTCACCTTTGTCAGAGCCATTATCTGAACCCTAAGGATGAAAACTCCAAAGGTTAGCCAGAAAGACAACTCGTAACGAGATCGCGCAAGGAAAAACACTTCAACCAAACCTAAATAGCCCAGAAAGCACAGCAATCGGCACTTCGCAGTAATTCGCGAAAGCACTTCCACACAATCTAACAGTATTGTTAAAATTGATGCATAATTTACATCCTCCCGGAAACAAGAGGAAGATTAAAACCAAAATCACAACATCGCGAAACTCTCAGTTTGTGCCTCCCGGAAGAAGCAATAAACACGACAGTAAACGAGATTTCGAGCATCAAAGTGATGAAGAAAACATTATTAAAAGACTCACCGACCGACAAGGCGTAGACTTGTGAGGTCTTGAAATGCGACTGGTTTAGCCGTGGATTATTAACCCTTTTCTCGTCCTCTCCATCTCCACGAATTTCAGAATTTTTTACGAATCAGAGAACTGATGAAATAGCACTGCTCAGACCACCGAGATTTGCAAGGGCTCACGGTCACGAAGCGTTGTAGTGAGCAGTGAGTAGTAGTTCGGAAGTTAATGAGGTCTGCCAATGGCGACTCTGAGCACAACCCTTTTTAATTTACCGCCATCTTTCCTTTTTCTATTGACCACTATTATATTATTTTTCTAATTTTTTTCAAGGATGTATCCATTTTCACACTCATTAAATTTTTATTTTTATTTTTATTTTTTGATATCCCTCTCATTAATTGTTACTACTTTGACCTTTTATTTTTTAACAGAAAAACAGCATAAAAAATCTCTCAAAGCCATCTCATTGCAATGAAAGTTATGGTATTTTCTTTTTCGCAAAATTAAGCTCAATTAATGTACAAAAGTTATAAAAATAATATAATTCATTAATTGAGATTATCTTTTCTTTTTAACGATTCTTTAAACAAAATTTTATTAGAAAGTAAGAATTGTGATATACTAGTAGAAATTGTAATACTTTTTCAAATTTAAAGGCAGTGATGGTAAAATTCATCCAAAATCTAATTTAATGAAATTAAAAGTTTACGATGAAAATTGATATTCATAGGTGTAAAAATGAGTTTTTTCTTTATTTTTTAAACATTTATCTTTATAGTTAAAATTTCAAAAATCCAATTATGCTACATAAATTTAAATGATTTTTTTCTCTTTTATTGTCTTACTATTTTTGTTGTTGCTAATTTTTAGAATTTCAATTTAAATTTTCTAGCTTCATTAATTTTAACCTAATTATGGATCTAATAAACTTAACGTTAAATACATCTCTTAAAGAAATATTTTTTAGGGAAAAATAAATCAATTTTTACCCTAACCATTTCTTGTAAGCTTTCAATTTCTTCATCAATTTTGATATTTCACTGTAGATTGATATTTCACTGTAGATTTAGATAAGTGTCAGCTTTTACCTTATGTTCAATATCTACTACTCATTCAGACACTCATTTTAAGCAGAAAAACTATGTATAAAAATATCTAAAAAATCATTAATTTTAATAAGAAACAAAATTTCCACCAAATTAAATGGGATCAATTGACAAAAGCGACCGAATAACTTTAACAAAATCAACAAATTAAAAAAAAAAAAATCAAACTCTAATGTTGTTTTTATTTGAATTCTATTAATTATTTTGTACCAAACGTATGATAAAATGAAACTTACTTATCAAAAGATTTTTTTTATATCCGCGAGTATCCACCAAATAATGAGTAATTAAATATTTTATCAATTAATATTTAATCACTTTGTGGTTTCGAGTGTATTCATATTTTTGCAGCTTCCGTGTAACAAAATCCTCTCTTCTCTGCACAGAGAGGCAGGGCTCAAAGGCCTAAGGCCTAGGCATGTTTGTGATTTTGCAGTGGTTGATGGAAGTTTGATGTATTTCATCTCCATTGGAGTTAGAGGAGAGGGACACAGAAATTAGAACAGAACAAAACATTATATAAACAGTAACGCTAATCAAAACGTAAAGTACTTACTGTTACTGCTTCTTCTTCTTCTGGTCCGCGTGCCCTAAATTTAGGATTTCGACAATGACACACCAACATTTCTCAAATTTAGGAATTGAAGGCCCCATGCATTCACCTACCACTCTCATAATAACTCATATGTCTTTCTTTCTCCACCCACGCATCCTCTCCATTATTCTAAATCCCACGCTCTATTAAACAAAAACCAACCCGATCCCACGATGAAAATATAAGGAGCTTAACAAAAGTTTATAATTAATACACATGGGCTAGTCCTTTTGTATTATAAATGAAAGCTCATGAATATTGATTTTGTATTATCCAGGCCTAAAAGCTCAATCGAGGATACAATCTAAAACATAGAGAGAAGATTGGTGAACCAAAAGAGACATTATCTAGAGGGCATGCTATAAGGGACCTAATAATGACTTATAATGTGAGTGGTGTGACGCTCGAGTAGAAATGAGGTGTACATGAATGAACCAAATACCACAATACCAGTCTGAATGAGAGGAATTTTAAGATCATGGAAAATTTGACCGGGACAGTTGTTGCTCTTCTAAGTAGCTCAGAAGTCGATACAATCAGGTTGTAGGGAAATGCCAAGTCAATTAGGGCAAAAATCCGGATTTCGAATCCTGAGCTGGAGACATGACAAGTGGCTACTCCTGTTGACGTCAATGAACTTTTAAGATGGAATCTCATACCTATAATATTTTTCCAAACGTCAATGGTCAGATGTTGACTCATTATTATTGAACTTAAAAAAAATTAATAATAATAG